TTACTATCATCTAAATACCATCTAATTAACTGTAATATGTACAGTCAACAAATATTTTGTGTTTGTAAAAAATTAACATGCTGGTCTTCACAGGAAGGGTGTGAGTACTAATTAACGATCTGATTCATTAAAATAAAGCCACAAACACAAGAATTCATGATCATTTAAAACATGCAAAATAATAGAAGCATTGAAACCATTTCCATGTCCTATAAATCACGATAGACTAAATATTGTGTCAGTGTCCACTGTTAATTTTTCCCCTTTTTTTACTTAGACTAAAATGTCTGTAAGTTGTTGATTTTGTTTGGTCCAATACAGTGGTAGATCAAAGAAATACATAATAGGCCTATACATGTGAATTTGAGAACCCTGTATTTTTTAACAATTGACGGAATATGTGCATTGGAAAAACAAAGTTTAAAACTCTTAATTAATGTAATTGATTGATAAAATCGAAACTGTGCATTATTGGTTAACTGAAAAATAACCAATCAAATTTAACTACTCTTACAATCTCATAATTGATTTATTGTTCAGATGCCTTATGTGGTCCTCTACGTTTACTACATGTATACTTTATTCTGTGCGACAAATTCTCTCATGGGTGTGTTGGAATAAGTTATTGACAGTCTCATTTATTGTATTATGATTGTATTTCACTGCTATCATAATGTAATGTGGACACAGCTCACCAAATATTTCTACGCCGTCACAGCTCACCAAATATTTCTACGCCGTCACCCACGAATGTAGGGTAAAAGTTATTTTTAGTCTTTCTCTCCCTTTCCCTTTTTCCCCCTTTTGCATGGCGATTTTTGTTGTCTTTTTGGTGTAGAATCGAAGAAAATGGTTTGAAAATACATTTTCTACCAGGTTTTGGTGAATATTTATGATTTTGAGGCGGAAGGATACAAGAGTTGAGAGGTTGGTTAGGTTGAAATGTAGGGTCCAAAATTGCATGTTTTCTTGTCTCTACTTCCAGCTTGTGTATCTCAAGTTTTCCATGGTGAACCTCATACGTGCTTTTGGGCAAGAGGTTGCCACATGTTGCTCCATCTGTGGTAGAAAGCGTTCTACCCAACGAAAATTTGGGAAAAAGTTAGAGCCGGTCTAAGAGACGAGAATTAACATTAAAGTCAATGGGCAAATGTTTAGTGATCTGTGGCCATGTGTACGCTTAAGCTAAATTATTGTGGTCTAATAATAGACCTGGCCTTGAACTTGTATCTTACAATGACCCTGACATTGTCTATTATTTTAACCAATCAAAAATTAGTATATTATATTATGCTGCCCTGTGGACTTCGGTTTTCTGTTTTTGCTTATAACATGTACCTATTTCAATAGCCTGCTAATTTATCTTATATCTACCTCTTAAATGGTATATACAAGGAAAAGTGAGTAATTAAAATGCTTATGTCAATATGCATAGTATCATATTTATCATTTATTTTGAAACTAATAACGTAAAATGTGAAGTTATTTTTTATTAGTGTTATTAGTAACACGCAATGTTGATGACAGACCTCGTTCAGGTCGTCCTAGAGCCATTACACAACCGGGATCGATACATTCGTACACAGGTCCTGCGAAATCGAGGAAAACGGCCAATCAACTTTCTGTAAACATGTACCAAGTTACAGGAATTCGAGTTACACCCTAAACGAATAGAAATCGACTACATACAGCCCATTTGCATGCGCGACGACCGCGTGTTGTGCCTCCATTAACTAGACAATGGTGTAGGTAAATTGGGGTAATCGTCGATGGGCGCGTGTAATGTTCTCAGATGAGTCAAGATGTACTCTGGATTTCACCGATAGGCGTGCCCGCGTTTGGAGGCGTGTAATTGAGCGTCATGCTAACGTTAACGTCAGACAGCATGACAGATTCGGGCGTGGGTCTGTTATGGTGTGGGGAGGAATCACCATGACTGGCAGAACGGACTTGCATATTGTTCAAGGAAGGATCACTGGTATGTACTACCGTGACCACATCTTGACACCGATAGTTCTGCCCTTTGCTCAAATGCAGGTCGACGTTTCATCTTTCATCTTTGGAGGCGTGTAAAGGAGCGTCATGCTAACGTGAGGGGAGAAATCACCATGACTGGCAGAACGGAGTTGCATATTGTTCAAGGAAGGATCACTGGTGTGTACTACCGTGACATCGTGGCACCGGTAGTTCTGCCCTTTGCTCAACGTGCAAGTCGACGTTTCATCTTTCAAGATGATAATGCCCGTGCCCACTGCGCTCGTGTCGTGAATGACTGCCTCCAGCGTCACCATATTGTCCATATGCCTTGGCCATCCATGAGTCCTGACCGTCCCCCCCCCCCCAGGGGTGTAGGGGGTGATAAGAATATACCCTTCGTATGTCCTGCGTGTCGTAAAAGACGACTAAAAGGATCCCTGTAATGGGGCAACGTGTTTGCCGTGCGTTGCGGCCCGTGTTGGTGGAGAGCCCTTTTTCTGCAACACATCGCTTCGGCCCACAATTCTCATTTGGGCGTATGCGCTGGATATCCGCACAGTAGCCTGCATGAATATTGTAACCCTTTGGTGGTTGGAGAGCAGACGGGTGAATCTTTTAAAATTACACTCATGGCTTCCCAGTCAAAGAAGACTTGTTTAAAACGTATGTCGACCGAAGATATGGAAGCTAATAATATACCAAATAAAACATCCCGAACCTGGTCTAGATTTCTGGTCATACAGAGTACAAATGATACTAATTTAGCTAAAACCTCACCTTTCTTGATTGCTAAAGGTCTTGCTGGCTTGGCCGGTGAGCCCAAAAGTGTCAAGAAAATGAGAAATGGTACTATGTTAGTGGAATGTGCTAAAGAGTCACATGCAACATCATTATTAAAATCAACGACTTTAGCCAACATTCCGATCAAAGTTGCACCTCATAACTCCCTTAATTCTTCAAGAGGTGTTATACGGTCTCAGGATTTAGAAGGCAGCAGTGAGGAGGAGATGTTAGAAAATCTCGCCTCACAAGGTGTTACATACGTCAAACGTATTTCCATCAGACGTAATGGTAACATAATAGAAACAAACACCTACATCCTGATCTTTGATAGACCAGATCTACCTAGGATGATCAAAGCTGGTTTTCTTGCCATTCCAGTTTCTCCTTACATCCCAAATCCACTGCGTTGCTTTCATTGTCAACGCTTTGGACACAGTAAAACGTATGTAAGGGGAAAGCAACGTGTGCTAAGACCCGTAGAACCATACGCCAAGCAAAGAAGTCTTCATGGCAAGGTTATGTCTCAAGGATAAATTCCCGTACCACTTCCAAATCGGTATGGGATAGGATTCGTAGAATTAAAGGTAAAAGTAGTGCATTATCAGTTAACCATCTAAATGTTGATAATTCCACCCTAACAACATTTCCTGATATCGCTAATTCTCTGACCAGTACTTTCTCATTCAATTCATCATCCAATTTCGCCTCTGATGCCTTTCGAGGCATTAAAGCACAACAGGAGAAAAGGCGACTTAATTTCAGGTCCCGCAATGATGAATGCTACAACGATACCTTTTCCATTGCAGAGCTTCGTGATTCGCTGAAGCGATCTCGGGACACTGCAACTGGTCCAGAAGAAATACGCTACCAGATTTTAAAACATTTACCTTTTCCAACACTCTTAATATTACTGGATCTTTTTAACCGGATCTGGGTTGATGGGAATTTCCCTCCTTCGTGGCATGAAGCCACAATAATTCCCATCCTAAACCGGGTAAAGATCCTACGAATCCTACCAATTATCGTCCGATAGCTTTGTCTAGCTGCATTTGCAAAACCATGGAGAGATTAATCAATTGAAGGCTTGTTTGGTACCTAGAGTCCAACAACCTCATTACAGACCTCCAATGTGGATTTCGGTCCCAAAGGAGCACTCTTGATCATCTTGTTAGATTTGAAACGTTTGTCAGGGGTGCTTTCATCCAGAAACAACATTTAGTTGCTATATTTTTTGATCTGGAGAAAGCATATTATACCACATGGAAATATGGTATCATGCGCGACCTGCATAACCTCGGTCTGCGGGGTCGCTTACCTATCTTCATTAAAAACTTCTTAGAAGATAGGTCGTTTAAGGTACGTTTGGGATCAATATTCTCTGACCCGTTTCCCCAGGAAATGGGAGTCCCTCAGGGAAGCATATTGTCTCCCACACTTTTTCTATCAAAATAAATACGATACCGACATGCCTTAAACGCGGGGTCGACGGCTCTCTTTATGTTGATGACTTTCAGATGTGTTACGGATCGACAAGCATGCAGACAATCGAACGTCAGTTGCAGCTTTGATTGAATTCTATTCAACGATGGGCAACTGACAATGGATTTCGATTTTCGAAATCCAAGACTCTGTGCGTGCACTTCTGTCAGAGAAGAGGTTTACATCCTGATCCGGAGCTTACACTGGATGGTAGCCCCATTCCAGTTGTAGAGGAAACAAAATTCTTGGGTTTGATATTTGATAAGAAATTATCATTTATCCCTCATATAAAAACACTCAAGAAGAAATGTCTGAAAGCCCTCAACATATTGAGAGTCTTATCAAACACTGACTGGGGAGCAGACCGTAAGGTCTTGCTCAGATTATATCGAGCAATAATAAAATCGAAACTCGACTATGGGTGTATTGTGTATGGGTCAGCCCGCGAGTCTTATCTCAAAGAGCTTGACACCATACACAACCAAGGACTTAGAATCAGTTTAGGAGCATTTCGTACATCTCCAGTGCAGAGTTTATACGTCGAGGCGGACGAGCCCACGTTGCACGACAGACGTGATAAACTTGCGCTGCAGTATGCTACAAAAATTGCATCTCTGCCTCATCATATTTCATTTAACACCATATTTAGACCCTATCATGAACATGTTTATTTACTGAGAACTAATGTTATTCCATCATTCGGTATTCGCATCCAACCCCTTTTGTCAGAGGTCGGCATCAGTCATGTTCAGCGATGTAGATGGAGGTGCTATTTTCTATCGCTTTACCAATAACGAACGGTCAATTTATGGAAACAAGATTTACCAAGTTGTACTTGATAACTTAACTGTTGAAGAAGATGATTATATCTGGATAATAATAGTAACACGTGAGATTAGAATAAATTCAGTTTTAGAATAGTTATAACATCCTTACACGGTAACGTTGATATCGTTGACTAAGCAACAAATAAATTTTATAAATGACACTAATAGATCAAGGTCGTCATTTTATATACATATTAGTCAGTTAAAATTGTTAGTATTCAGACAGTAGTCATGAAGTAGGTGTTTTGTCGCTAAGGTGTTAAAAGTGTGACTATTAAATGATATCAACACTGTCGTTCAGGTTTGTGTATTCAATAGTGATGAGTGTTATAATAAGTCACGCTTTTACACCAGTAGGGACATCTTTTACGGCTAGTTACATGCCTGTTAATTAATAACAACTGTATAATTTCTAATTACTTTGTATACATAGTAAACATTAGTTTATAATAAAGACCACTTATATCATTTAATGACAAAAATTGTCATTACTACATGACCCAGGTTCATAAGTCAACGGTATAAGTATTACTTGGTCCCGCATTTGAATCTTGGCGTATACAACAAAGATAAAACATATTCCATTTCTCCTATTTCACGGGTAAAATCTATTAATCGAAGAAGACATGTGTTTTTAGATGGGAATAAAGAAAACGTGTGGCGTTGTTGCCGGAATCGTTAATCTCCATGTCTTGGTTTCCATCTCGGTTTGTCCAAAATACAATTTGCGACATTCTTTTATCAAAATACCCCGTGGTTTGCATCGACATCGTTATTCTTCTCCAAGCAATGACGTTATAAGTCTTGGACGAAATTTTAATCCACTTTATGCCTAGTGTAGATGATGGGTACAAAAGCAGAAATAGATCTTACCCCAACCCCTCCCCCACAACGACATATCTTTATTTCCCAGGATGTTGCAATGGAACGGGACGAAATTTCAATGCCGTTATTCTGATGAACGACTTTTTTACGTCATCTTCCGATACCGGGGCCGGTTGGGCAGTTTTCCAATTGTTTTCAATGTTTATGCAACTTCTAGCAACATTTATAAGCTGCATTATATCACATAACTTGTACATCTTATTGTATTGCAGGTTCATATTGTATATTATATAATCAGTATATCATTATACAAGCTAATCTATATATCATATTATATTACAGAAGTTCATTGTCCATTTATTAATGTAAATATAAGCATAAACTGTGCTGATCGTGCTGATGTTACAGCCCCCGGTGAGTATACAATAAAATCTTGATTTCTTCTAAACTTGTATTTGTTATATTAGAGGTTATGAGATCCGATTGAAAATGATTTATCTTTAGTGGTACCACTACCACTTCGCCATAAATTCACAAAACTGTTGTTATTATAGAGGTTATGGGGTCTATTTGGAAAAGATTTCTTTTTAATACAGTAAAGAATATGTGGATTTTAGAATACAAACATGACCCTGTCTCTAATGACTAGTACGCGACAATAATCATATAACAGATCCGAGAAGTAATGAGTGTCGATTGAAGGCACGTAGCAATTTTACAATTACCGAACACTTAGAGCCATCTTTATTACAAGACCGGGGTCTATTTTTGTCTGATTGACGTTGCCTAGGCATTTAAATTCTGTGAACTGATATATCTCAATCATTGCAGATACTGATACACACAGCAAGAACTCGTTAAATGAAGGGATTTCTACATGTACATGTAAAGAGAACAACAATGGTGATGTTAACACAGGACTAACAGTTGGTATAATAGTGGTATCTTTACTTCTCATGATAACATGGTTTATTGTTGGTGTTTATTGTATCAGAAGGTTTGTATCTATATGTATTGATGTATCTATATGTATTGTATCTTTTGGTGTGTATTGTATCAGATGGTGGTGTGTATTGTATCAGATGGTGGTGTGTATTGTATCAGATGGTGTTGTGTATTGTATCAGGAGGTCTATTGTATCAGTTGATTTTTATTGTATCAGGTGGTGTGTACTAGGTGGTTTGTATCTGTAGTCGTTATATCTATATTGGTGGTGTGTATCGTATCTTCTGGTATGTTTTTAAATAGCTGTTACATGAATATTGACTCACGTCGTCAGTTTACAGTTATTATGGAAGTCAACAAGTCTGATAATATACTCTTCAATAAAAGTAGTGGGTATTGAAATGCAAATACCTAAGAAGGCTGTGATATGATAAATGGTCATGGACTCTTGTCATGCTTTGCGAGTATGTTCACAGATGAAGAACTTATCGCCCCAAACATGCGAAACGCAATAGCGCCAAACACGTGGGAGGGGGTTCATTGTCAAATTTAACACTTCAAGGAAGGGTTGGTGAAAACTGCCGTGTGTTGGTTTATCCTATCCATGTTTGCTTAGCTATCGGTTCTTGCGTAAGATATACTGTTTAGCGTATCTTTGCTTTAGTGTGTTACGTTTAATTTGATTGGGAGATGTGTTCCTCGACGTCAACGTCAACCGACAACACTGCGAGAATTGGCAGTAGTACTGCAAGAGGACTGGTTCAGATTGCCCCAAATCGTGATTGGACGGTTGATTAGGAGCATGCCACGACGAATTGCCGAATGTCTGAGGATTGGTGGAGCAATTACTCATTGTTAAGACAAAAATCAAAAAGGTTCATTTTCCATTTTGACAGTGTATATCTTTGCGAGTGAAATGGGGCCGTCAGATAAGCCGCCCATATGAACTGTTTATGTTCATGTGTAGGCAATTGGCCTGTTATTAACATACACTGGTTATCTGTAATAAAAACAGCAGTGCATTTCCACAGTTTTGTATTGTTTCTGAATATCCCCTACTTTTCTGAAAGTGTATATAAGGCCCACCGTAAAGATGGAGGGGGTTGATATGTATAATGTATTTTTGCACTTCAGGAAGATTAAACGGACACAGCAGTCCCGCGAGGAACACGATATTGCACGTGCTGTAAATACAGTAGAGACAAGTACGTATGCAGGCCTCATCAACAACGGTGGACTGGAACACGATTATACAGGCCTGGTGAACCGGAACGGGTCCGATACTGTAATCAACGGTGAACCAGTACACGACTATATAGCCATGACGAATAGGAACAGTTCAGATACCTTAAATAACAGTGAAACGGAACACTCCACAGTACAAAATGAGACAGGACATGATTACACTGCTGTGAGTCGCCCGACCCGGGTTCATACAGAAGCTTCTACCAACGTTGATTATGAAAATACCTTAGTAAATACAAATCAGCAGCCTGCTAATAATACCACCTCGGCGTGAAAAGTTTAACGACTTACACACACTATTAGGCCCGGGTCATTGTATATAGCTTAAAACGTCATTATATAGTTCAAGGTCGAAACAGGACCTGAACAAGACATATACTACTTGATTTGAAATTCATGTTTACAAAATGAATCAAGTAGGAACATAGTTTTTTTTGTAATGTAGTTTTGTTTACAAGACACTTTTTCATCTATATTATTTTTTTCAAATAAAAACGCGAAAGTTAACCTGCAGCTACTATAACTTTCCTATTAAGCAGTCCCCAAAACACCAAACAACAAGCTTTTTCATTGTATCTGTCACTTCGTCATAGCTAAAGGTTGTTGAATTGTAAGCATTTCATTTCATTAATACAATGATCATAACGTTGGTTGCTAGGACAGTGGCCTTGGGTGTCTTCCTGGCTTTTGATGAGAGATCAAACTAGGTTTAGTGGGAACTTGTTGGATTTCTTGAAATGTATTATTGTTTGTGACATAGCATAGATATTTTTGTTGTTCAAAATGATTTTTTTTTTAAATTTAACAAGACAGTAGCAAATCACTCATCATCATCATCGTTATCTTACAACTTGACCACAGTATATCACATTATTTTACATAATATAGTATACGTGTATCACTTATGATACACAAATTATTCAATAATACACATAAATGTTAACTTAATCTATTAACTTAATCTCTTATTCAAAGGGCTAATCTTTGTAAATTTATCTATAATCCCCTTAACATGTTTAATTTAGTTCCAAGTAAACTTCTGAACTGATGACAAGGTTTGCTTTATATATGATAGAAGACATACGGTCAGTATTCTTACTGTGCCAGTCTTTAATAAACGTTTGAACCTTCGTCTAGTGTACGAACATAAAGGTAATTTTTAGTATTCTTTGCCGATCCATCGATAATACAATAAATGAAATGAAACGAAATGGGGTTTAACGCTTTACTATAGTACTGTTCTGCTCCGACTGGGATGATACAGTGCTATGAGGGAAATTTGGCCTGGGCAGTGGTACTATGGCCTATTCTTGTATCGAATTCCAACTGCCAAGGGATGTTTTACTTGCACGTCAATGTATACACTCGACCTCGGTTTTTCGTCCCATGCGAACGACTATACGGCTGTCCTTGACAGGCACTCCATCCTGCACTATTGACAAGGGGGAAACCACGTCGGAAAATCACGATGAATTTTTCAGCCAATGCAGTGATCGAACCGGCGACCTCCTGGCTAGCGAGACAGTGTCTTACTCACTGAACCACCCCGCCTCTCGCATCGATTATACGAAAAGGGGCTGAGAATCGTAACGGTGCCGCCCGAATCGACGCATCGATACTTGATATCAGCCCTACCTGTCAGTGTCAATTTATATTTTACTTTGACAATTTTAAAATTTGTGATATTTAATATTTTTAATTTAAATATTTGCGATCGTTTTACTTCATGCATTCATAGTTTTACCATTTGTTTATTGAGCACTCTATGTGGAATAATCGATGTTACATAAACGATTTGATAATAAAAGTGTGGATTAAGTTGTGGAAAATTGGATATTTTTCGTAAAATGGAAATGGCGAACAGAGACTTAAACTTTTTTAAATAAAACATTGTTAACGTTCTCTGAGGCGCCGTCTAAGAAAACACGGGGTTAGCTCGGCCTCCATCAACACAAATGGTCTCCCCTGTTATATATGATGATTCGTCTGACAGTAAAAATTTAACCAGTTTGGCGACATCTTCTGTCTCGCCTACTCTATCCAGTGGTCCGGCTTCAATCTGGAGAGAAAAAGATACGCTTTAGTTACAAATAGTCGACTTACTAAATATGGAAAGGAAAGGAACGGTATATAAATGTTTGGATATGGTCTTGAATGTTTGAGCCAGGAACACATGGTAATTTACTGAAATAAAATTGAACATATATTAGTCCCGAAATTACCTAGTTTGTGTCGAGCGGACGTTAACCCCCACCTATCTCTCTCTCACTCTCACTCTCTCTCTCACTCTCTCTCTCTCTCACTCTCTCACGGAAATAACATGGACCTAGAAATATATTTGGTATTGCTACATTTCATAAATAGTATAATTGTGTGTATTCAATCAGTAATTTATACCTACCCCCACTATTTGTTTTTCTGAAAGTCCTGCCTTTTGGAAGGCTAGTGTTCTGATGTAACCAGGACTGAAAATATACAATAAATATTATTATTCAATGGCTCCGTGAGTAACGAGCTGGTTTACTAACCTCAAAGCTCTGGGTTCAATCCCTGTGTTGACCACGAACGATGGTGACCCCCTTGTCAGTGACACAGTGCGGCTGACCTGACAGGGGTTGTGCTTTACAGTTTTGATGGGGGAAACAATTCAATTTGCTGTCCAGACCAAATGACTCTGTATGGCATACTGTATGGCGTATCATCGTATTCCTGTCTTCAGAATTGTTATCGTTTGCACGCTGTATTATAAAGTTATAAGTCAACTGGCGTGGTTTCGATTTCCCAGTTGTACGTGACAACCAAGTAGGGTCGTCTGTCCAACCTCGTGTGTTTTCTCTGGGTCCTCATGGTTTCCTCCCACTGCTAAAGACCCCTACGCGCAAGCGAATAGTTGAAATAAATTTGAACCATAGGTGAGTCCCGACATGACCTAGTTTGTGTCGAGTGCACGTAAAACCCCATGTCTCTCACCCTCTCTCTATTATGTAGGGGATCACGGTAACTAAGTGGGTAAGGCTCTGGCTCGCTAATCTAGATTTCGGGTGTTTGATCCCTGCACTGGCCGAGAAACTGCATCCAGATTTTTCGGCGTGGTTCCCCCTTGTCAGTGATAATGACAGCTGTCTAGTCGTTCGTATGGGACGAGACACTGAGGTCCCGTGTACACATGGACGTGCTCGTAAAAGATCCTTGGAATTCGATATATGAGTAGGCCGTTGTGCTGCTGTCCGGGCAAAATTTATCTCAAAGCACAGTGTATGGCGTATGCCCGTCTTCATTAGCCCAATTAACTTGTGACAAATCTGCATGCTTACTATAGAGCCCAGTGAGCGTGTTGAACCAACTATGTCACTTCTGGTTTCATAAAAATTAATTTTTCGCTTACATAAACTTTTTTGCTTGTGTTACGGAGGGGATTATTTATCAATATATATTTAAGATTTATGGAAACCATATTGAAAATCGTTGGTCCTCCCCCTTAAACCTTATTTCATTTCATCTCTATTATGTAACTTGTCATTGTTTATTTATTGTTTCAGTATCCAAATATCTACAGAGTTGAGTTATTGGCTTGTGGTGTACGGATCTGTTATTTAATCAGATTGTAACGTATGCCGAACACTGACAATATTCAATTTATCTTTGTCAATACTTAGAGGGGTTTTGAACTGATATTCCTTTCGTGTAATTTACAAAGAATTAAATTCTTTAACCTTGGGTTTGTTTAATTATTATTAAATAATACTAACTTGACACTGTTTACCCTGACACCAGATGGTCCTGTTTCTGTTTTAAAATCAAAAATACAATTTATAATGTAACCATTTCTTAACAGAAAGATACAATTTGTAAGGTGGCATGTTGAAAAAGATAGAGACAATTTGCTGATAAATATTCTCTATTTGTGTTACAACAAGGGAAATAACTCACAAATAGGATATAAGGCATCCGACAAGTAATCGTATCCATGACATTCCTTGGCCTGTAATATTCTATTAACTCTCTGGTGATCATAATCGTTTTAACCACAAAAAGCCCAACGGACATGTGACAATCACCCGGTGAAAGGGATATATAGGCCCTGGCACCGTACGTAGTTTCCCCGGTGAAAGGGATATATAGGCCCTGGCATCGTACGTTGTTTCCCTAATCCATGTCTGTTTACTGATTCATCATTTAAAACTTTTGCTCCCTTTAGTTCACAGTCTCACCACTTGACTCAATGATATACCTTATGATCTATAGCGCGGGCGTTAGACTCATCGACAAGGACAGCTGTCTAGTCTTTCGGATGGGACGAAAAACCGAGGTCCCGTGTACACATTGGCGTGCACGTAAAAGATCCCTTGGCAGTTGGAATTCGATATAAGAGTAGGCCGTAGTGCCGCTGGCCGGGCAAAATTTCCCTCATAGAACACTGTATAGCGTGTGCCCGTCTTCATTAGCACATGTTAGGAGCCGAACAGTAGGACGTTAAACCCCATTTCATTTCGTTAGACCCATCGACCACCGCCAACTCCCACTCAGAACTTAAAGAAACCCAGATTTAATGTCAGTGAAAGGATAGATATAATTATTTATATCACTTTCCGTTCCTGATTTAATTGAGTAGGCCATTCTGCCTCTTTGTCACTACATAACAGTAAATGAGGAAGGTTGCTAAGGGGAACGTGTTAATATGAATTACTGTAACTTTTACCTGCAGCCAGTAGATGCGTAAAATGGTCGAGGGCAGCTTTACTAAGAGAGTAGGCTGCTAGGTCAGCTATCTAAAATTGACATATGAAACACTTTGTATAAGCTTCTTTTTTCATGCTAAATACAACGTAGCTTTACATTAAGAAAATAAAAGGTAAGTTGCCAAGCAACAAAACTGTAAATCGATGACATACCCAGGGACAAAAATGATCAGAAACTGCTATAATTTGTATTCATCGTCATAACAATCTAAGTAAAATATAGATCTATATTTAGTTTCGTTTTTTATACGTTGGATGGCCTACACTGCACGAAGATCTGGCCGGTTGTAGTAAAAGGTCGCGTCGGAGGTCGTACGAACGGCTTTTGACCCTATGACATCTGGCATTGATTAATCAATCAGCGTTAACGTTTCTAGTGGATTACACTTACACTCCAGAAGTCTGTGTAACAGATGGTTTCAATGGCTAATACCCCACGCCATCAAATAAAACAAAATTTTGAACTATAACTATAAAAAAAAACGAAACGAAATAGGATCTGTGTTTTAATTAGATTATCGTAATAATTGAAACAAAGAACATACATTTAAGGCCGCAGTCATATCTTACAGTCACACACATAGCTGACTGTAGTGTCATTAAGGTCAACTACGCTGAAGTGGGTTCGAGGTAGTGTTAGGCGTCGTCCTGTCATGTTGCTACGGTCAAGTACGTTCAAACTACTGCCACAGTATGTTCTTAGAATTTAAGATCAACGTAGATATTTATTGAACATGTTTAAAAGGACATGTAAGGACTAATCACGGTCAAATCATAGGTATCTACGTTTTATAAAGGTCAACTACAGTCTGTTACGGCAAACCAGGGTTATCCCCCACTACGGTCAACTACATACGTAACCGTAAGATGTTACCGCGGCTTTAACCAGATCTATCTGATAAACAACAGGGTCATATATTTCTAGAACTAACCGAAATTGTTAAACATTGTGACTTTTTCACGAATTTTATAACCGTGCAGGTTATAGTATAATTTAAATCTTGAATATTTAAGATAATGCATTATTAATTTTAAAAGTGAAAGCCTTCAGATTGAATTTATTTAAACTTTCGGGACAATAACTATTCCATTCCTTTAAAACATTAATTGTAGGTGTGCTAAGGAAAGGTGATTAGCCAATGATGAAATGTTATGTAATGCTAATGACATGTTAAATTATTATAATCCCTTATTGTTTATAAAACTGTTACAGACAGAAAGTAACTGTTAATATAGCCGGTCTTGTCAACATGCCAATCGTATCATTTAAATCTATTAATTGTTTTATTTAACATTGTTAATATGTGATTGTACCTGATACGTCAGTCATTTAGGTCTATTCTACCTAGTAGCATAAGGTACTATAGTCGGTTATCCGCGGTCCTGCAAGTGTATATAGATAATTGTTATTATAAGTTTTCAGTATTAAAGATTTGAAGAACCATTCCAAACTCGTGTTAATGTTGTTTGTGTGGTGATCACAAGAAACTGTGAAGGACAGGCACATGGAACGACGGACAGGGGCGACGGCTATACACGACCGCATTTCTTTGTAGCCATATTAAATGCCATAGGTACAAAATTTGCTTGGGTTGACCTGTTGCAGAATTGGGATAAATTACATAAATAATACTGAGCATGACTTGAGATAAAACAAAGGAACAACAAAGGGAACACTCGATACCACAACAAACTGCATGCATAAAATGATCTAAAAATTGATTATTTCTGCTCTGGGAACATATTCTGACCCGATGCAACATATTTGTTCCAGGGAGTTCTGTCTGGAAACGGTTCTCCTCTATTGGTCGTAAGTCGACCCGATTCCTTCTCTCTATAATAACAAATACGTATCACGCCCATCTTACCCCTGTCTTTGAGACGATACTGGACACGTTGATCACACAACCTGAAAGTAGAATTTCATGTATTGCATTATATTCATTTGAAGGGTGTGCGGCTCTATTTTGCAATATTAAAATAAACGAAGATGTTTATAATTTGTATTTTGAACATTATGTTAGATATTGAGTTAAAATAACGATAAACACTTCATGTTTCGAATTTAGAAGACTGTTGTTGTACAATAGTCATATGACTCAAGTCTGACAAGAAAAGCTGTCTAGTCGTTCTGGGGATGGGGACGAAAACCCGAGGTCCCGTGTACACATTGGTGTGCACGTAAAAGATCCCTTGGCAGTTGGAATTCGATATAAGAGTAGGCAAAATTTCCCTCATAGCACACTGTATAGCGTATGCCCGTCTTCATTATCCCAGTTTAGGAGCAGAACAGTAGGACGTTAAACCCCATTTCACTTCATTGCATTTCATTTCATATGCCTCTAGATCACGATACGTTCATTACAGGTGATTTAACACAATCAACATTTCCCCTTTGCTTTACTTCACTTCGAAAATGATGCGATTGGAAGTTCAAAGTCAAATTTAAGGGTAGGGTAGATAACTATACCGTTGTAATTACATCGGCAATCATTTTATGAGAAAACGCCTTACTTTCTGTCTACGCCATGCAGTGTGTCATAATGGATATTTGATCCCAAATTAACCTCCCTGAAGGAACCAATACTGGATTGAAATAGTTTTGTCTACCAATGGGGCCTTACCTTTGCTTGTTTTTAGATGTGGTATACATAATTTTGACAAATAAAATGGAGCTCTCATATTGACTCTCATAATTCCATCGTAATCTTTCATGTTCGTTTGCTCAATATTTCCTGCTACACCATACCCAGCATTATTAACCTGCAAGACACATATTTTACTAACTGATCGAAGTTCCACAAAGCGGGACCGTAATATAATTTGAGAATAATAAAGTTGGGTGAATATCGAAACAGTCTGACCCAACAGTTCGCTGTGACTCGTAGAGAATCAAGGCCTCATTAGAATCATAAACTATACCAAAGTCAATCTTGTTGATGCGCACCAAAATCGAACTCTTTCAAGATGTTTGATCCTTATCAGTTATTTTAGAGGGTCCACAAGCTTGGTATATCTATTACTGCTTTGCTACTATTTGAATGGAGGGAGGGGGGGTTTAACAAGTTTCGTCGGATAAACATATACGGATGTCCGGAAATATTGACGGACATGCTGGGGACAACTACTGTGAAACTGTAAGCGTGTAAGAACTGTAGCCTCTAAGTGAACCATTGACGGACGGACGGACGGACCATCAGCGCAATTCCATACTGTGACGACACACACACATCAATATGGGTGTATAATACCAAGCAAGAGAATAAACTGTGCTTACCAGTCCATAAATAGAACCAAATGTTTGTATTGTTGTTTGAACTAAATTCTCTAAATTATCATCTTTACTTACATCACATTGTAGTGTTAGAATCTAGAAAAATAAATGGATATATATTAGCATCATTCTGAACTTTATAAAATTCCAAATGTGAATTTCTTTTCTTCTTCTAAAATTTTCATAAGATTTCGGCAGATACTCTTCACAAACTTAATGCTCGATTTTAAATTTCAAAAAGGTTGCACTGATCGTTTTAGGTAGTGCTATGGGCAAGACTATATGAGGAAATATAAGCATGAAGATAAAATATATAAGCATATTCTGATAGTTAAAACAGTCCATGTGAATTATTCTTCTTTTAAAACTCTAACCTGCAGAGAATTTGAAAGATTTAGGTGACAAGCCAAATAGTAATCCCCGATTTTGACTATCCAGACAATCTTAAAAGTTTTAAAAAAACAAAAGTATCAATACATTTGACCAATGTCAAATCGGTATGAATGATTAACTTGCGTCATTAGTCTGCAATGTTAACCGACATTACACTGCTACTACTGCAATTGCTACTTACAGAATTTGCAGCTAAACCGGCATCTTGACATTGTTTCCTTGTAAACTCTAAACCCGTTGTGCCTCTAGCAGCTAAAACAAGTTTGGGTTTATACCGAGCAAGAAGAACAGCTATACTCTCTCCTATACCCGCACTCGCACCTTTAAGAATACAAGCAAATTCATTTTGTACATATGTCTTCTGGAAAATGTAAAATGTAAATGTTAGGCAACGTGAAGTTGGCACATTATTCGGGATTCGAATAACAAGCCGGGGATTCGCGAATAACGAGCAAGCACGTTATTCGGGATTCGGCACTAAATAGACCGACCTACATTGCATCCGACCTAAGGGGTAAGTGAACGTTAAGTGGCCGATTAACACGGAGACGACAATCTGTTTAGCGAGTAAGGGGGTTGAATGGTTTGTCGGCAATAAACATGTGTTTGCGGGAGAGGATTGTCCCGTGCACGCCAACATACGAATCAACACCCTATATACTCGCTTGACAAATGGTGGTCTCCATGCGAGTCGGCCACCCAATCACTTATCCCTACGGTCGGAGTTAGCCAGTAAACGGTCGGTCGGTCTGTTTTTATACTGCCGATCTAGATCGTTATTTAGGATTCGGCAATACAACTTGTGGGTGCCACGGTGGCTAAGTGCATTGACCCAGAAAGTGTCCCCTTGTTAGTGGTGCAAGAACAGCTATCTATTCGTTCGGATGGGACGAAAAACCGAGCTCCCGTGTATACATTGGCTTGCACGTAAAAGATCCCTTGCCAGTTAGAATTCATAATAAGAGTAGGCCATAGTGCCGCTGCCCAGGCAAACTTTCCCTCATAGCACACTGTATGGCGTGTGCCCGTATTTATTCTTTATTAGCCCAGTCGGAACAGAAGAGTATAGGACGTTAAATCCCATTTCAATTCTTAAAACAGGCGATTGCTGGAGAGGACTCCAACAAACCAGTCAACACCCGACTCGCTTGATAAGCGGTCGTCTCCGTGCTAGTTACCCACCCAACATTCACTTACCCCTACGGTTGGTTGCAGTGAGGAAATGGTCAGATACAAAGTATGCCGGTCTGTTTTAGTGCCGAATCCCTAATAATGTGCTGGATCGTTATTCGAATCACGAATAACGTGCCAACTTCACTTTGCCGAGAAGTTATAACTATGACGTCATATGTTATAATATGGTACAATTTCTTGCTAACCTTTATTATATGGGGTATTCTTAACAATATGGAATATTTGAAAAAGATATATTCGTCAAAACATGAGAGAGAGAGAAATGAGGTTTAACGTCCACTCTACACAAACTAGGTCATTTCGGGACTAACATATGGTTTAATATTATTTCAATAATTCGCTTGCGCGTAGGGGTCTTTAGCAGTGGGAGGAAACCGGAGGACCCGGAGAAAACACGACAATACTCCTTGTCACGTACAATCGGGGATTCGAAATCACGCCAGTCGACTCGGTGATAGGCTTAATGATACAGCGCGCGCACGCTAACCCAATCCCCGTCAAAACATGAAAGTAGAAGCCACCAGCACGTATCCCTGCTTACAGGGAAATGTCAGTGTACTATCACGAACATTTTCCTCACTATTGTAACTAATACATCCAACGCAACTATGAGGTCTAAAATATTGTTACATTCAAAAGCTGTTGATTCTGTGGCAAGTGTAATCTATACTAACAACGACTTTATTTTCATAATGCAAACGATTGCACACATATAACTGATGTAGGTCATCCTATCACTTGCTATAACATCTAACACACGAGACGGAGAGATTATGTTATATGCATAGGCTGAATATGCTACAATGTCAGTGGCGGCGCCAGCCGTCGGTGGGTGGAGGAGCAAAGCTGGGGCGAAGTCCAAGGTTAAAGGGGGCAAAGGCCCGAACATTAAATAGGGATAGTGGGGGGGGGGGGGGGTCCCTCAAGAGGTTTGAAAAACAAGCTGCCGGAAATGCAGCCTGGCAGTATTTCAGGCACTGATCGTTGAGGTAAAGTGTTAAACGAACGGACTTGCGAACCTCGACGAAGCCCACTCACGAGCGTCAAAGAAAGGGGTCATTACGGAGGGTATGCCGGGGACCTCCTCCAGAAATGTTGTCTGACATTATTCAGTCAGGTACTGATCGTCGAGATAATAGATCTGACCAGATACCATCCGTCGCCTGATCACTAGTTTATCCGACCAAAGAACAAAATGTCAAACGAACGGACTTCCGAACCTCAACGAAGTCCCTTTGTGAAGTCGTTGTCGGGGGTATTGGGGATCTCCCCAACAAAATGTTGAAAAATAGACTGCCGGAAATGCTGTCTAACAATATTCAGGCACCGATTGTAGAGATAAATAAAGCTGATCAGATGCCGTCTGTTGTTTGATCACTAGTTGATCCGATCCCAGAGAGGAAAGTGTCAAATAAACGGACTTGCGAACCTCAACGTAGCTACCGAAATGCAGTCCGGCACTATTTCAGGCATTGATGGTTGAGATAAATAGAGCTTACCAGATACCTCCGTTCGCCAAATCACTATCCGACCAGAGAGGAAAGTGTCAAACGGACGGAGTGAGTGACTCAAAGTGAATGAATATTTTCGCCACGATATTTTGTGAAATAGACTGCCGGAAATGCAGCCTGACAGTATTTCAGACACTGGTCGTCGAGATAAATAGAGTTGACCAGATACTGTTCGTCGCCAAATCGGGATCACGGTGGCTAAGTGGGTAATCGGGTGTTCGATCCCTGCATTGGCCGAGAAAGTTCATCCTGATTTTCCGGCGAGGTTCCCCTTGTCAGTGATGCAGGACGGAGGACCTGACAAGGACAGCTGTCTAGTCATTCGGATGAGACGAAAAACAGAGGTCCCGTGTACACATTGGCGTGCACGTAAAGATCCCTTGACAGTTGGAATTCGATATAAGAGTAGGCCGTAGGTAGTGCCGCTGTCCGGGCAAAATTCCCCTCATAGCACACTGTATGGCGAATGCCCGTCTTCATTAGCCCAGTTCGGAGCACAACAGTAGGACGTTAAACCCCATTTCATTTCATTTGATTTCGTCGCCAAATCACCAGCTTATCCGAAAAGAGGGATGTGTCAAACGAACGGAGTGACTGTATTAGGTGAATACATATTTTCGCTGCGTTGAACTTATACCCCAAAACTTTGAGGATCGTAAAAAGCGTTTCTCAAGTGATTCACCTGTTATTGTCTATAGTAGGTTTACAGCCGGATGGACTTGGTAAGAAATCACGCAGTCTCTATAAGATGCAAGTCTATGACTGAGTGGGGATGTGGGATTTAATTACCGTACAAGGTTTTGATTACCGAAACGAATCACAAATTTTTTTTTTATTTTATAAAATTATTGCTGAGTCCCCCCCCCCCTCCCTCTGGCGCCGCCACTGCACAGTGTATGGCCTTGAAATAGCTTACGTCACCACGAATTGAACTATCAAATTAGATCAACCTAATCAGTTTTATTTACATGAATCAACCTTTACCACTTTAGGGAGCCACGGTGGCTAGCCTGTAGGTCGGGTGTTTGATCCCTGCATTTGCCGAGAAAGTTCATCGGGTTTTTCCGACCTGGTCTTCCCTTGTCAGTGATGCAGGATGGAGAGCCTGACAAGAACAGCTGTCTAGTCATTCGGATGAGACGAAAAACCGAGGTCCCGTGTATACATTGGAATGCACGTAAAAGAGCCCTTGGCAGTTGGAATTCGATATAAGAGTAGGCGATAGTGCCGCTGTCCGGGAAAAATTTCCCTCATAGCACACTGTATGGTGTATGCCCGTCTTCATTAGCTCAGTATAGGAGCAGATCAGTAGGACGTTAAACCCCATTCCATTTCATTGACCACTATTTTGTATTAATGTTTGCCAATACAGGAGTCAGTGTTGTATGTAAAATCATGAACGTACCTGTTATGATTATGACTTTTCCTTCTAGTGAGCTCATCTTAAGGATATATATTTTTCCGCTGACGCTTAACTATTTTATGTAATCTATTTTATGTAATCTATTTTATGTAATCTACAATGTTTATCTATCGCGTGATAAAGGAACGCCTCGTTATGACACTATCTTATATGGCCACAGATCACTAATGATTTCCCCATTGACTTTAAATGTCACCGGAAATATTGCAGGTAATATGACATTCGGGCTCGTGTTATACTTATGGAAAGGATATGTTGACATAATTACTTTTTCCCAAATGTTCGTTGGGTTGGACGCTTTCTACCACAGATGAAACAACATGTGGAAACCGCTTGCTCCAGAGCACGAATGAGGTTCTTGGAGAACTTGAGATATACAAACTGGAAGTAAAGACCAAAAAATATGCAATTACCTGCCCTACATTTCAACCTAACCAAGCTCTCAAACCATTTTCTTCGATTCTACACTAAAAAGTCAACAAATATCGCCATGAAAAAGGGAAAGGGAGAGAAAGACTAAAAATAACTTTCGCTCTTTCGCGTAGGAATATTTGGTGACTGCGTCCATATTATCCCCATCCATCTGTTTTCCAATTCTGTACTTGACCGACACAAATTTGAAATACATTTAATATTTTTCAATATTTGTTTTCTCAAAACTGCGAACATAATTTGTTTTTGTCATATCGTTTTCGTTTTAACATTTAACATCAAAATACAAAAACATGATGTTTTGTCACAAATTTTAAAATTCTAATGATCTTATGGAGCGGAATCGCATGTTAAATTGGCTATTTACACATGTAAATATGCTAATTTATATGACTTATTTTTTTAAATATTGCAGTTAGAATTTGTATTTTGTTCTATTTCCATTATTACTTTTAATTTATTGTAGTCTGTTTAGTTTCGTTAACATTTTGACAGTTCAGAAATGTTACGCGATCAGGCGGCATTTCTAAGCTCATGTTGGTAAAAATTGGCGCTGTTTACAATTGTATGGAGGCTGATTGGGGACATGTAAAATCTCGCCTCTTTCATAACCCGACAGACAAAAATCATAAAATATTTTACGTACAAAGGCAAATTATTCCAGATATGTTTTGAAATAAATATATATACTTCTTTGTCGTGCATTTTACCTAACACTGCTATATCGATTAATTTAACCTATTTTGTTTCTAAAAGAACAATAAAATATATGGTAGAGAACTCATTACGTCATAAATATAAATAAATGAAATGAAATGAAATGGGCTTTAACGTCCTACTGTTCTGCTCCTATAAGCCATACAGTGTGCTATGAGGGGAATTTTGCCCGGGCAGCGGCACTATCGCCTACTCTTATATCGAAGGGATCTTTTATGTGAATTCTAATGTATACACGGGATCTCGGTTTTTAGTCTTATCCGAAGGACTAGACAGCTGTCCTTGTCAGGCCCTCCGTTCTGCACCATAAATATTAATAGGTAATGATTAGTTTAGCGTATAGTTACCCCTAAAAATTTCGAAATATTTTTCGCAAAAAAAGTTAAGTATTTTTGATATTTATAGTTTAGCTTCCAAATCATCGTGAGCCGCGGTGGTTGGTTGAGTAAGTCCCGGACTTGGTAACCAGGAGGCCTCGGGTTCGCCCACGGTGTTGGAAGGGAAAGTCTTCCCCTTTTCAGAGGTGCAAGACGGAGTTCCTGAGAAGGAACACTGTTTAGTCGCTCTAATGGCGTGCACGTAAAAGAACCCTTGGCAGTTGGAATTTGAAATAAGAGTAGGCTGTAGTGCCGCTGCCCGTGCAAATTCTGTCACACTGCACACTTCATGGTGTATTCCACACTTCATTAGCACAGTTGGCGTTTAATTTAATTTCCATACCACCGCTTGTGTGTTATGAGGTAGGAGGTCTCTTTTGGGGATTGGGCGAACGATTCACTGTTTGTATTGATCTTATTAATCTCATTCTATTGGAAAAAGATTTAAACATGTTGGGATTTGGGATCAATGATTGTTCGGGGATACAAAATCCGTTACGGACCACTCGGGAATCTAAATTCTCTGTAAATTATCGGGCCCCCTTGTAAAATGTTTCACTTTTAACGGCAGATATTCGAATAAAAAATATCACTACAAATCACTGAAGTTCCAAGCCAACAGCTTTTTCTTTTTACATCTGGGCACTAACTTCCACAGGTACGCTTTTGGGTCAAAAAACAGCTGGCTTTCGCCTTTTACTGCATCACCCTGATGAACTATTCCGTGTTCATTCTCCAGCAACCTAGCTTTCTCCGGGATATTTTCATGAGATTAAACTCACTGAAAAGCGTTATAAATATTTAACCAGTCCGTACAATTCTTACCAGAACAGAGATTGTTTACAAGTCGACAAGCCAAACCAAGGCGTCGGCGAATATGATTTTCCGTACTCTCATGCTAGTTGTGTTGTTAAGTCTTTGACTAACCTTATCCAGTCGGTGTGTGGGTGTATTATAGAATCACTCTTTCATGATAACTCCAGTGTAGTTTGTACTGTTGATAAACGACTTTCGTGTGCCTGGAAAATATGGCGATCATTCTATGCTAATTCTGCTGTCGATTTTTTCGACTGTAAGGTACCGTGTTTAGAAATCAAATATGATTATGATCTTTCTTCCGTTTTGTTTACACCCGGTCGACGTCTCTACAACAGGGATTCTAACACCATAATATATTTTTAAAATTCCTTTAAGGACATGATGGTCACTACGACCAGTCATGAACCGGAGTTGGACGTCTCGGATAGTATTGAAGTGTTTGAAGGTGATCAGAATCAATCGACATTCTTTATTGAACATTACAAAATCAGCACCATCCACTCCGGGTGAAAAGCACGAAATTCATAGTGTGTGACAATGGTACCATTTAATGTCTGGTGCATTGAAGATTCATGTGCCACTATTTCAACATAAGGAAATATTGTCATATAATAGAAAAAAAGCCACCTTGGGGGTTACATGGGTTTCTGCCTTGGAGCTAGTGTCTTGACATTGATAGAACTAGCTGAGGCATTTAGATTTAGAATGAGAGCGCGCCTAGAATAATTCGCTTATGAGACGTCTCCCAACACGACATTTTCAAAAAACGACGCATCTTTTGCGACACCCACCCGGTACCTTTACGTCACCCACCCACATACACCAAAGCGCTACATCCGGCTTTGCACACAAGCCTTGTGCTTCCTTGGTCAATCAAAACGCACATTGGCCTTCCTTTCTTTTCCGTCGGCTGCAACATAAGCGGTTTTGCAACTAAATGCAACGAGGCAGTGTGAAGTTGAATCGTTTTTCGTTATTTGTTATTCATCAATAACGAATAACAAGGTGTTCAAGATTCAAATATGCAGCTAGCCATGACTAGAATGATGGATGCCAAGTATCCTCAAGCAGCATAAAACACAACAAACAATCCAAATTGTTATCCAAGCAGCGAATAACGAGATATTTGTTATTCGTTTTTCACCTCGTTATTCGTGATTCACATATGGAGGTGTTCATGCATCTTTGATGAGGATATTTCAGGATTTAATTGAACACGATCACTAGACAACAATAGAATAATAGATTGCAGAGTATCCTATAGCAGTATAGTCGGTAAATAAACCAGATTGTTGTTATTCAAGCGGTGAATAACAAATAACGAGGTGGTCTGTCTCGTTTTTGGCGAATAACGAGGTACAAGCTACCTCGTTATTCGTTATTTAACAAGTTATTCGTGATTCAAATATGCAGCTAGCCATGACTAGAATGATGGATGCCAAGTATCATCTGGGCGACATAGCTCCAAACACATGATTAATAATAGACGGACTAAATTATATCATAAATCATATACATAAATTTACCAACAACAAGTTCAACTTGTATACAATCTAAACATATATCACAGTCTACAAAAATGATGAAAATACAATTATATAGCTTAAATATTACAAACAATTTAATCATTCCTAATATGGACATTTGATATACAGACCATTAAATCAAACCTAATATGGACAGTATAAAGTTTAATATTTTATAAACAACTCTAATCAAACCTAATATGAACAGTATATTGTTTAATATATTACATACAATTTAATTATCCTAATATGGACATTTTATGGACAGAACACGGTTTTTATCGGATACAATCACGACGTTTCAACAAGTATCCTCTTATCGTTATCATGCACACAAAATGTAATCTAACCTAATATATAAGTAAATATGAAACGGGGTTTAACGTCCTACTGTTATGCTCCGATTGGGCTAATGAAGACGGTCATATACCATACACTGGGCTAAGAATGAAATTTTTCCCGAACCGCGGCTTTACGGGCATACTGAGTTTCAACTGTCAGTGATTCTTGTACGTGTACGCCAATGTGTACATGGAACCTGGGTTCTTCGTACCTCCCGCATATATTACAAACACTGTAACCTAATATGGACATCAAAATATATTACAATATGGACGTTATGTAGTTATCTGTAATCTATTGTATAGTAAACAATTCAATGGCTATGTACAATTATACTAAACTTTTCAATCCTTTAATATGGTCGCTTTTAGTAGCAGGGGGCAAAGTGGGTTGGGTGTATCTATTCGTTTTAATGTAATTTGTCTTTTGGTTTTTTTTAAAAAGTTATTCTGATGAAATAGTATCTTGTAAACAAGGCTATACTTCCACAAGGCACCTATATTGCCAATTGAAGCATTTTGTAAATACGTATTTTAATTTAAGTAGTATAGGGCAAAGTGCTTGTCCCTGTTCAACCATGACCTATTTATACTGAGCTTAAATAAATTAAATAACCCTTTGACCTACATACAATTACCATGTGTCACGCAAACGGTGTGACTTAATAGTGCGTCAAGTTCAAGTTATGACGCTAAGGTATGTATTGTCCTTAGAACGCTGTTCATTTGTGTTGGCTAAGGTATTTTCATAATTAACATTGGTAGGGGCTTCTGGTTGAACCTGCTTCGGATTACTCGGAGCAATGTAACCATGTTCTGTCACATTCGGAACTGTGGAGTTTTGCGGTTCACTGAAAGTCATTGTATCTGATCCGTCTATATTCGTCAGGCCTGTATAATGGTGTTCCGGTCCACTGTTATTCACGGTATCGGGTACGCTGTTCACCAAACCTGCATACGTACATGTATCTGATGCATTTACAGGACGCGGGAGAGTTTGACCTTCTTGCGAACGTTGTGTCCGTTTCATCTTTCTGAAGAGCAAAATACATTATTCATTAGATCAATTCATTTTTCATTATTCAATACACGACTGAGTAATAGATTGATGCCTCCTTCTTTTAAGCGAGCCTGACCCTAACAGACAAAGACTTGTTGACCTCCATAACAATTGTAAAATTAAGACTTGAATCTATTGGTAAAATTAAGTACATACACACCACCTGATATAATAAACTCACCAATATAGATACATACCTTCTGATACCAATATAGATACATATCCATTGATATAATAAATATAGATACATACCTTCTGATACAATAAACACCACCAATAAACCATGTTATGATTAGAAGTAAAGATACCACTATTATACCAACTGTTAGTCCTGTAATAACATCACCATTGTTGTTGTTACTGTTACCTGCAATGGTTGATATATTAGTTCACGCAATTATTTTGTTATATTTATAAACATATCTTTTACGCTAATACAATCCCCCCCCCACACACACACACACACACACGCGCATTATAGAGAGATTCAGTTAAAAGCTTGTTTAAACTAAAGGGTAGATTATTCCATACAACCGGGGATTGGAGATTAAAAGCGTGCTCGCCATAACAGAATAGTAGAACAGTTTTGAGCTTTAAAAGCGGTTTATCTCACGTACGTAATGTTCAACCAGGTGTATAAAGTTGTAGAAGATCAGGGAAGTAAACATAGTTAGACATTTAAAAGAAAGTAATAAAATCTTAAAATCAATTCGATATTTAACAGGTAACTAGTGTAAATTACAACAAAACAGGGGTTATGTAATCACATTTCTTAGTTAAAGTAACAAGTCTAGCTGTAGTATTATGTAATTTGTGTCATTTATCTATGAGATGTAAGTGTAAACAAACTGACAATTAATTAAAATTAGCTAATCGAGAATTAACAAGTGATTTAGTGCCACAGTTAAAAATTTACGTATTTTACCTATATTTCTGATTTTAAAATAGCACAGTTTACAAATAGTATTTACTTGAACTCCCTTAAGCATGAAACTGTCTACAATTGCGCAAATGTAAGAAGAAAAAATATCACCAGTTGGGAGGGGGTACAATAAAACAAATCTTCGTTTTTTACGATGCAGCATAGCTTTCGGTCCGTAGTGTACAAATCCCTTGAACAGGACCCTTAGACATGTGATCGGCACTAAAAATGAATTGGTTCACTTATTCTTATTACTTATTCTTATTCTATGATCGGGTGATGTAGAAATGAAGGGCTCTTTTTGTTTTTAAAATAAGTGATGTAGAATTTTTTATATACTCACTTGAAGCAGTAGAAGGAGACCCACAATCACCACATGTTATATTTGTTATAGCTGCACCTATGATAAACAAAGAAATATAGATATACATGTCAAATGGGTTTTAACGTCATACTTTACGTCAACAACTCATACGTCATGAAATGCGCTATAAAAGACATTTTTCCCAGATAGCGATGTTTCCGCCAACTCTTCGCTGAATTATAACTGTCAAGGATTCTTCCTCGGTATTTGTCCCATCCGAACAACTAGACGCTTTTCGTTACCAGCACTAACAATCAGAAGGTATTTTATTTAAATCCGAATATTAAAAATGGAAGCTACACGTGACATATCAAGGTATGTGAAACCCTGCTCTGGATTCATTTTTATTTATTTCCCACTGATTGTTTCTCTAGTCGTGGAAAATTTAACAATTTAGAAAGGCAGCCAAACTAGAGTCCCCGGTTATTATTCTCGCACGCATCACAAAATCAAAAATGCTGATGAAAAAAAGGCATGCAAACTATTATCAAGCCATCATCCAGGACCTATTAGGATTGTGTAAAAGACATAATGAACATTAACTGGATAAGAATATTGATAATTATAACACTAGAATATATCGTACATTTTAATTTCTACATAGAGAGAGGGAGACTTAAATTTTGAAGACTACATTAAAATTGTACCATAACTTTGTGGTGTGGGCAGGGAGTTTGGGAGGGGTAGGGGGTGTGTGTTAATGTGGCCACACGTGCATACACTATTGTGGTATGCCTATGCGTCTTGCAGCTATGTAAAGCACAAAGGTGTTTTCTCTTCCATATAAACAGCACAACTGTTAATAGGGAATGCATTAAATCTGCTTGGCTTCAAAAGCGGGACATTCCAGCTACAAAGGCTGGTAATGAAGCCGTTTAAAATTTCTTGAGAACAAGGTTTGCTCACAGAACTCTTATAATTATACATTTTATTCTAACCTGCTTGTATATATATCAAAATATAATCATCTTCTTCAACAGGTATGTTATCCAGTACCACATGGTAAATTTTGTCTTTATCTAGATTAGGGTGTTGTATTATATACCAGACACCAGAAAAGATAAAATCGTAAACTTAAATGATTAGGAATAAATATCCAAACTGATAATACACTCACCTGGAGCTGGACAATCATCACAGGTTATATTTATATTTGGACAATCATGTATACAAGCTGTACTTGTATTTGATGAACCTGTAACATAATACGTATGTGTGGTAAACAAATCGTTCTGTAATGCAATACATTTATACAGGCTATATGGTATAACTTTAGTTCTGGGAAGTATGGAGAATTAGCAAAACCAAATAGATCACAAAGGGTCTAAAGGTGGAGAAAAAACAAATTCAAACTTAGTCGTGGTTATTTTTTTTCAAAAATATTGTGATTGCCAATCTGAAAAGATAAAAGATAGAGAAATTTGTCGGGTATATTTTATACGGAACGAAACATTTTTTTTTGTTTACGAAATATATCATCATTCTAGATTTACTTATAAGGATTAGACTACTTTAACTTACAGATTTACATACTAGTAGACATGTTACTTTGTGACTCAAACACGTGTTGGGGGCATACCTGCTATGGGCCTATAATTAGATCGGTTAAGCTTTATAGATTAGCATGTTTACTTGGATTGGCCACAGAACTCTTATAATTTTCAATTTATTCTAACCTGCTTGTATGTATATCAAAATATAATCATCTCTATCAACAGGTATGTTATCCAGTACTACATGGTAAATCTTGTCTCCAGAAATTAAGAGGTCTCTCAAACCATAGAATAAACCACCTCCATCTCCACTGGGTAATAAAGTCTGATTCTCTGAATAAATCTTCACGTTGTAACTTGATTCTTCTGTCAGATCAATGTAGATACTTTCTACCAGTAATGGTTCAGTACTTGCTATATTACAACATCTAGTAATTGTTGTACTCGTAGTTTTGGCTTTACCAGAGTAATATAAAAAAGCTGCATCTTGAATATTTACATCTGTGATTTCCAGGATGTTGTGCGACTGATTATCTGTATATCAATTTAGAAAAAAAAGCATAAACCAATCAAGTTAGCTGTGGGCGTTGTGTTGGGTTAAGCAAATCAAATGGGGTTTAACGTCCTACTTTTCTGCACAGACTGGGCTAGACCAACACCGAGAACAACACGAGACCTCCTGGTGTACATGCTGAGTTAAGTTGGGTCATGTCTTTGTGACAGTAACACATGGTGAATTGAAACCATTGTAACTAACACTCTTCAGTTTATATTTTTATTAGTGTTTTTCTATGAAGATAACTTACCTGGAACACAGAAGTATGGATAACGCATATAATCATAACTGGTATTAGGACTGTAAGGAGATGTGACGGTACAAGTTGGTTGATTTGAACAGTTTCTATAAACTGATAAACGATATGACTGGTTAACCCTAACATATTCATTAAGGTGTTGGTGTCTACAGCATGTTGCATTACATATCTCCATCTTATCTTGAGGGCATGCTTCCCCGGGATTTCTGCCATATGCAATGTAAGTATTACCGTTGTCATTTACTGCTATAACCTGATCATCTGGACAGGTTAAAGTATGTTGTGAACATGGTGATCCTGGTTGTCTATAGCAACCATAAATGGTCTGACAATCAACAATAACAAACACTGCTGGAATATAAACAAATATGATTGTATTACTTGTGTAAAAGGATATGGTTATATTACTGTTATTAAAGAATATAATTTTTTACAGAATTAATCCATAAATTGTGGTAGTTGTGAGTTGGATTTTAGAGATGTAGATACTGTTAGGAAGCATAATTGGTTTAAGAAAACGGGCTGTGTCCTATAGGCCTGCAGCCAAAATTTCTAACGTGAAGTTCCCCTACAAGGCCCTCCCTAATAAACAAACTATACATGTTTGAAAAGCATATCACCTCGGTGGAAGCGGACGTAAAATACAACTAACCCATCATCGTTTGAAAAGCTTATAACACCAGGAACACAAATCCAGAGAGTTCCTAGCAAACGTTTGCACTAACTCGATTTAGGGCATCATGAAAATTGTGATAATTGTCAAGCAAATGCGATATTATACTAACAATTGTGAAGTTGACATAAAATTAAATATTGGTGAAAACACTCGATGCCTTCATCCTATGCAAAGAATATGCTATGGGTTAAATTTTTATTTAAAGCAAAATACAGAACACATAATGGACAGGGGGATATGCAGAATTTGGTCAATCAATTTAATGGTGAAAGGAATTATTTCCCTTTATGGAAAATATCAATAATCATTGATAACAATATTTTGTTTAAAGAATTTATTCGATGACCTGAATAGGATTTACTGACAGACTAGGGCCTATATAACTTTTTTTCAGATAGGATTTGAGGCTAAAGGTCTAACAAAATATTTAAACTGAAACATAGCATCTACAGATATTTAGTTTTCTCACTAAAATAGATATGGACAAAACTAAATAATACTGTAAAGGGAGTGACAATATTGTAATGAAGAGAAAAAAATCAAATGGAGTTTTTAAACTAGGGTATGTCTAACTGTTCTGTACCAACCCGTATAATGAAGATGAGCATACGTCATACATGATAGTTGAGCATTGTACGTGTACAGCTAGTATGTAAATGTCAGGGAGCCGCGGTGACTCAGTAAAGGGTTGGCTCACTTATCGGGCGGCCCAGGGTTTGATCCTAGTCCCCTTATCCGTGGCTCAATAATCAGGAGATCCGGGGTTTGATCCCCGTGTTGACATAAACAGTTCCCCAAACTTTCCAGCGTTGTTTCACCTTGTCAGTGAAGCAGGAAGTTGGGGTGGGGGGGGCTGTGATGGACAGCCTCTAGTTATTTGGATGGAAAATATTACCGAGGTCCCGTGCACACGTTGGCGTGCACGTAAAATAACTTTAAATTTGAAATAAAGTGTAGACCGTAACGTTGCTGTTTGGACCAAATTCACCCCATTTGATAGTAGAGACTTTTGGCAAGCGTAAATTCCTGGTCCGTATTGCGTATCCGTAACGATTTTGCGTGTGACGTCATCAATGCGTGTGTATTTCTCATACGTGATACGGCACACGGATACGGCAGCACGTATCGAACAGCTTTCATACGGAAAAGGTCCGTATAACATCGTCGTCTTTTTATCGTATTTTGTTGTGCCGTAGCGTTTTAATGAATCTATGTGTAGGGCCTATCCTAGAACACGAAGTTGTATATTTGATGTGATTTTAACCATGGCAAAGACTGGAATTTAATCATTACTTTTGATGAGCTTTTAGCGGAATTTTCATATTTTTCCTTTCTGTCTGCACGCTTCTTGATCAACGTGCTAAATTTAGGGAGGTGGAACCTTGCAAATCTCTAAAAGGGGTATATTTTTAATAAGATTCGTAACTAATTTTTAATTTTTTTAAAAATAACTCAGCCACTGTCGAACGAGGTATATTTTTAATAAGATTCGACACTAATTTTTTATTTTTTTTATTTTTCTTTGTTTTAAATAACTCAGCCACTGTCGAACGAGGGAGCCACGGTGGCTAGGTGGTTAAGACGCTGGCTCGCTGGCCTGGAGGTCGGGTGTTCGATCCCTGCATTGGCCGAGAAATTTCATCCAGATTTTCCGACGTGGTTTCCCCTTGTCAGTGGTGCAGAACGGAGGGTCTGACAAGGACAGCCATCTAGTCCTTCGGATGAGACGAAAAACGGAGGTTCCGTGTATATATTGGAATGCACGTAAAAGATCCCCTGGCAGCTGGAATTCGATATAAGAGTAGGCGATAGTGCCGCTGCCCGGGCAAAATTTCCCTCATAGCACACTATGACGTATGCACGTCTTCATTAGCCCAGTATAGGAGCAGAACAGTGGGACGTTAAACCCCATTTCATTTTCTGTTGATCTTGCTTGGTAGATAACTGCCATCATGCTGTAATAGAACTACGCTCAGCTCAGCTACCCATACGTAGACGGCGCGAAAATCTGCCAAAACTCTTAAACTAAATTAACGCAACGTATCACGTGACGATACGGATACGTTATATGGATGGGAAAAATTCCACTTGCCAAAAGTCTCTAATGTATGGCGGGCGTATACGTACATCTTCATTATCCTCCATTTGATTTTCATTTCTCTTCATTACAATTGCCACTCCCATACAGTATTATTTAGGATTTGCCATATATCTATTTTAATGAGAAAATTACATATAGATGCTTTGTTTCAATTCAAATATTTAGCCTTAAATCTTATCTGAACTAAAAGTTTACAGATATATTAGTAGAAATACTGTTTTGGGAGGACTCATACGCCGCCCCCCCCCCCCCCAACCTCCCAGATTCCTTGAACCGTCCATTTTTCGCGTTATGTATTTCAGTTTTTCGGGCACAAGCATCAGAGAATAGAGAATGCGACCGTATCTCATGGAAATATAATTGTGCAAATAATTAAAAATAAACAACCATCACATATTCTTTGCCGAGGATGGAGGCATTGGGTGTTTTCGCCAATATTTAATTTTATGTCAACTTCACAATTGTTAGTATAAATATAAAATTTACTTGAAAATTATCACAATTTTCATCTGGCCCTAAATCGAGTTAGTGCAAACACTTTGCTTGGAACTCTCTGGATTGGTGTTCCTTCTGTTATAAGCTTTCCAAAAATATATAGTTTGTTTATTTGGGCGGACCATGTAGCGGAATTGTGTTTCTAATCAAGCTAGAAATTTCGGCTGCAGGCCTACTACTGAATACGACCATTTGGAAAAGTGGACGAATTTAATCATTAATACCGATATAAAAGTTATATTACCTGTTGTTAGAAGTAATAAATACTTGATCGTATTATACATGTTTCCGATATACACGCTGGCCTTTTATCTTTTATTCCTGATATATTTGTAATTAGATTATTCTAATTGCATGGTTATCACACATTCAAAATATATTAATTGTTGTTTGTGTCCAATGTTGAATTTTTAGATCAGCACAAGGTATACAGAGTTAAATCGGCACAGCATATACTAGTTAATATTCGACTTGTAATCAGCACATCATATACTAGTTAATATTCGACTTGTAATTAGCACATCATATACTAGTTAATATTCGACTTGTAATCAGCACATCATATACTAGTTAATATTCGACTTGTAATTAGCACACCATACTAGTTAATATTCAATGTTAAGCACACCGTATACTAGTTAATACTCAATGTTAAGTACACCGTATACTAGTTAATATTCAATGTTAAGCACATCGTATAATAGTTAATATTCAATGTTAAGAACACCATAGTTAATATTCAACGTTAAAAGCATACCATATACTAGTTAATAACGGGTATTACAGTTGAATATAAAACCAAACTCGCAAAGAAGGGACCCGAGTATAATTTTGGCTGACTACCTGTTTGTAGACACGTGATATTTGTAAGCGTGCAATACCATAATTGTCATTCAATATATATATATATATTCAATTATACCATGAATAATATATGATATACATGCACAATGTAAGTGTATTAGCTAGTTACACAATACATGTCTGTTAGCTAACCATACATATATGTAACTAATACTATTGTTATTTATCGATATACTGTAAAATAAGAGGGTAGCCATGGTGACTCAGTGAATAAAGCACTCGCTCCTTGACCAGGGGTCCAGGGTTCAATCTTGGTGGTATTCCATTGTCCTACGCAAGGACTAACGTCTAGTCGTATGGTGAGAGGTTCCGTGTACATGTTGGCGTGTACGTAAAAGAACCCTTGTCAGTCGGAATTCGAAATAAGAGTTTCCTCATAGCACACAGTGTGTCCGTCTTCATAAGCTCAGCTGCTGCAATAAAGAAAGACGTTAAAGTAGCTAAGTCTCTAACTCAACATTATCCAAAGTCTTACAGGTTGAAAACACGAATTATTTCTCAATTCAAATCAACATTGATGTTGTGATCTCACCAGGAAAATTAGGCTTCTGACATCCAATATTTATGACAAAATAAACATTTTACCATTGGTACAAGAAATCGTGTACTTTAGTGCGTTTCCGCGTCATTGGTAACAAGTGGCCATAAAGAACGAGGCTAGACATATTCCATAATTCATGTCAAACGGTGACCCCATATCTTATCTGGAGAGTATGCGCAATAGACTGGAATAACCAGACTCTAGAAATCGCTATTCGGTTATGCTGTATTTCGCTGGATATAACTGATTTGAAATTAGAGTCAAAACGGAAACAACTGAATGTAAATCGTATTATATACAATCAGATTACATTATTATATGCGTTGCGACACATTTGGGTATGATTTCTGTTATATTCACAGCGTTGCAGTATTTTCTATTTGTACAGTTCTTTACAATTCACAAGTTGATATGATTTAAATGTGATGACTGACAACCGCTTTGTTCCCAACATATAAATATAACTAATTATACACATCTATTATGTTAGAAATCACGAACACGTATTCACTTTCTATTATTCAATATTCTTTAACAAATCTTCAAATACAATTTTTATTCACGTCATTATCCGACATGTCGCTAGATACAATTATTTCCTTACAATAGAAACATATTAAATGTTTAATATGAACAGAATCGAACCTTTAAGGTTAAAAACTACGCAATAGAACCTGGCATAAATTCAACTTTACACTGTCGATTTATCAACAGATTTTGATCTATATATTTCCCAATAAACGTACTGTATCTGTATATGTATATGAGAGATGTACAGATCTTTATTAGTGGATCTACAGAGATCTCAAACAATCATCTTCTACTGATACACTTAGTGGATATATATTAAAAAGCTCTGGATCAATTGGTCTACAAAGATACAGGTGTCTCTTTTGTCGCTATGTGTAGAATACTATTCGGGTGAACAATAGAGTTAACAATGTTGTGACTTTAACTTGAAGTCGGGTATAATCAACTACTTATATCGGGACGTAGACTTTCTACTCACGGTGTAAATAACTATTTTCTGATGAACATTATTATTATAATTATCAAAAATAACGAGATGCGAGATTTTAACAACATATTCAATGATGTAAATACTGTAATATGTAACCGATAATATCAGATATTAACTAATGGATTTTAAATTATGTATTGGTTGTGTGTGTTGATTTATGCCGAATATAAATGATATAATGTGTGCTGATTAGCGTTGAATATAAACCATGTAATTTGTGCTGATTCACTTTGAATATTAACTGATGAAATATGTGTAAATAAGCGTTGAATATAATCGATGTAGTGTGTGTTCACTCACGTCGAATATAAATGATCAAATGTGTGCTGATTAAATGAAATGAAATGAAATGTTGTTTAATGGCACGTCGTGTGCTGATTAGCATTGAATATTAACTGAATAGCCTGGAATGTCAGCTAGTGTAATGGGTGCTGATTAGTGTTAATCTATTTGTGTTATATCGATTTTTATATGAATTCAGGTTTGACTAGATTAATTCAACCTCTCATATAATAAGGCTCGAAGCACGGACAAACCACTGGTTCAGGACAATTTCACTTACTAACTATCAGGAAGAATTTTTAAAAGGTCAGCGTGGTTAGTGTTAGTGTAAACGAGTTTATCACCATGTCTAATATGATCAAGTATTTATTACTTCTAATAACAGGTAATATGTTATAAATAGCTGTTTATGTTATACATTTATGTTATAAACAGTTGTTTATGGTTGTTTAAGTTATAAGTCTGTAAGAATTGCATTTATGTTAAGCTCATTGTCAAGGTCATCGATAATACATCTATATTTGTTTGCATTTCAGCAGTGTTTGTTATTGTTGAATGTCAGACCACTTATGGTTGCTATAGACAACCAGAATCACCTTGTTCACAACATACTTTAACCTGTCAAGATGATCAAGTTATAGCAGTAAATGAATACGGTAATACTTACATTGCATATGGCAGAAATCCCGGGGAAGCATGCCCTCAAGATAAGATGGAGATATGTAATGCAACATGCTGTAGACACCAACACCGTAATGAATATGTTAGGGTTAACCAGACATATCGTTTATCAGTTTATAGAAACTGTTCAAATCAACCAACCTGTACCGTCACATCTCCTTACAGTCCTAATACCAGTTATGAATATATGCGTTATCCATACTTCTGTGTTCCAGGTAAGTTATCTTCATAGAAAAACACTAATAAAAATATAAACTGAAGAGTGTTACTTACAATGGTTTCAATTCACCATGTGTTACTGTCACAAAGACATGACCCAACTTAACTCAGCATGTACACCAGGAGGTCTCGTGTTGTTCTCGGTGTTGGTCTAGCCCAATCAGTGCAGAAAAGTAGGACGTTAAACCCCATTTGATTTGCTTAACCCAACACAACGCCCACAGCTAACTTGATTGGTTTATGCTTTTTTTTTCTAAATTGATATACAGATAATCAGTCGCACAACATCCTGGAGATCACAGATGTAAATATTCAAGATGCAGCTTTTTTATATTACTCTGGTAAAGCCAACACTACAAGTACAACAATTACTAGATGTTGTAATATAGCAAGTACTGAACCATTACTGGTAGAAAGTACCTACATTGATCTGACAGAAGAATCAAGTTACAACGTGAAGATTTATTCAGAGAATCAGACTTTATTACCCAGTGGAGATGGAGGTGGTTTATTCTATGGTTTGAGAGACCTCTTAATTTCTGGAGACAAGATTTACCATGTAGTACTGGATAACATACCTGTTGATAGAGATGATTATATTTTGATATACATACAAGCAGGTTAGAAAAAATTGAAAATTATAAGAGTTTTGTGGCCAATCCAAGTAAACATGCTAATCTATAAAGCTTAACCGATCTAATTATAGGCCCATAGCAGATATGCCCCCAACACGTGTTTGAGTCACAAAGTAACATGTCTACAGTATGTAAATCTCTAAGTTAAAGTAGTCTAATCCTTATAAGTAAATCTAGAATGATGATATATTTCGTAAACAAAAAAAAAATGTTTCGTTCCGTATAAAATATACCCGACAAATTTCTCTATCTTTTATCTTTTCAGATTGGCAATCACAATATTTTTGAAAAAAAATAACCACGACTAAGTTTGAATTTGTTTTTTCTCCACCTTTAGACCCTTTGTGATCTATTTGGTTTTGCTAATTCTCCATACTTCCCAGAACTAAAGTTATACCATATAGCCTGTATAAATGTATTGCATTACAGAACGATTTGTTTACCACACATACGTATTATGTTACAGGTTCATCAAATACAAGTACAGCTTGTGACCATGATTGTCCAAATATAAATATAACCTGTGATGATTGTCCAGCTCCAGGTGAGTGTATAATCAGTTTGGATATTTATTCCTAATCATTTAAGTTTACGATTTTATCTTTTCTGGTGTCTGGTATATAATACAACACCCTACTGGATAACATACCTGTTGAAGAAAATGATTATATTTTGATATATATACAAGCAGGTTAGAATAAAATGTATAATTATAAGAGTTCTGTGAGCAAACCTTGTTCTCAAGAAATTTTAAACGGCTTCTTTACCAGCCTTTGTAGCTGGAATGTCCCGCTTTTGAAGCCAAGCAGATTTAATGCATTCCCTATTAACAGTTGTGCTGTTTATATGGAAGAGAAAACACCTTTGTGCTTTACATAGCTGCAAGACGCATAGGCATACCACAATAGTGTATGCACGTGTGGCCACATTAACACACACCCCCTACCCCTCCCAAACTCCCTGCCCACACCACAAAGTTATGGTACAATTTTAATGTAGTCTTCAAAATTTAAGTCTCCCTCTCTCTATGTAGAAATTAAAATGTACGATATATTCGAGTGTTATAATTATCAATATCCTTATCCAGTTAATGTCTATTATGTCTTTTACACAATCCTAACAGGTCCTGGATGATGGCTTGATAATAGTTTGCATGCCTTTTTTTCATCAGCATTTTTGATTTTGTGATGCGTGCGAGGATAATAACCGGGGACTCTAGTTTGGCTGCCTTTCTAAATTGTTAAATTTTCCACGACTAGAGAAACAATCAGTGGGAAATAAATAAAGATGAATCCAGAGTAGGGTTTCACATATCGTGATATGTCACGTGTAGCTTCCATTTTTAATATTCGGATTTAAATAAAATACCTTCTGATTCTTAGTGCTGGTAACGAAAAGCGTCTAGTTGTTCGGATGGGACAAATACCGAGGAAGAATCCTTGACAGTTGTAATTCAGCGAAGAGTTGGAGGAAACATCGCTATCTGGGAAAAATGTCTTTTATAGCGCATTTCATGACGTATGAGTTGTTGACGTAAAGTATGACGTTAAAACCCATTTGACATGTATATCTATATTTCTTTGTTTATCATAGGTGCAGCTATAACAAATATAACATGTGGTGATTGTGGGTCTCCTTCTACTGCTTCAAGTGAGTATATAAAAAATTCTACATCACTTATTTTAAAAACAAAAAGAGCCCTTCATTTCTACATCACCCGATCATAGAATAAGAATAAGTAATAAGAATAAGTGAACCAATTCATTTTTAGTGCCGATCACGTGTCTAAGGGTCCTGTTCAAGGGATTTGTACACTACGGACCGAAAGCTATGCTGCATCGTAAAAAACGAAGATTTGTTTTATTGTACCCCCTCCCAACTGGTGATATTTTTTCTTCTTACATTTGCGCAATTGTAGACAGTTTCATGCTTAAGGGAGTTCAAGTAAATACTATTTGTAAACTGTGCTATTTTAAAATCAGAAATATAGGTAAAATACGTAAATTTTTAACTGTGGCACTAAATCACTTGTTAATTCTCGATTAGCTAATTTTAATTAATTGTCAGTTTGTTTACACTTACATCTCATAGATAAATGACACAAATTACATAATACTACAGCTAGACTTGTTACTTTAACTAAGAAATGTGATTACATAACCCCTGTTTTGTTGTAATTTACACTAGTTACCTGTTAAATATCGAAGTGATTTTAAGATTTTATTACTTTCTTTTAAATGTCTAAATCTGTTTACTTCCCTGATCTTCTACAACTTTATACCCCTGGTTGAACATTACGTACGTGAGATAAACCACTTTTAGAATGATGATATATTTCGTAAACAAAAAAAAATGTTTCGTTCCGTATAAAATATACCCGACAAATTTCTCTATCTTTTATCTTTTCAGATTGGCAATCACAATATTTTTGAAAAAAAATAACCACGACTAATTTTGAATTTGTTTTTTCTCCACCTTTAGAACCTTTGTGATCTATTTGGTTTTGCTAATTCTCCATACTTCCCAGAACTAAAGTTATACCATATAGCCTGTATAAATGTATTGCATTACAGAACGATTTGTTTACCACACATACGTATTATGTTACAGGTTCATCAAATACAAGTACAGCTTGTGACCTTGATTGTCCAAATATAAATATAACCTGTGATGATTGTCCAGCTCCAGGTGAGTGTATAATCAGTTTGGATATTTATTCCTAATCATTTAAGTTTACGATTTTATCTTTTCTGGTGTCTGGTATATAATACAACACCCTAATCTAGATAAAGATATCTGTAAGAGTATTGACAGCTATTATATGATTTCACAGCTTGCTTCATGATATAGATGTAATGTACCATTTATCTAATCTTGTTACTTCCAGAATCTTCAGATGGGTTGGGTATAATAATTGGTTGTGTTGTTGGTGCTGTGGTAGTTATACTGGCAGTGGTTGTAGTTATATCTTACTGTATAATCAGGTAATATATGATATAACTTATATAAACATATAATATACACAGTGCTACAATCTGAAAAATGAAATAGGATTAAACATCAGGGCAAAATTTCCCTCAGAGTAAACTACATGGTGTCATTAGCCCAGTTAATGCAGAAAGATGGGATGTTAAACCCATTTCATTTTATTTTCATTTCCTTACCGTAACCTGTAGTGGGCCTAGTAGCTGTGATTATGGGGAGGGACAAATCTGGGCACCGTCAATAGCCCCATACCACAATAAATGTCAACACAATACGTAATAAGTTTAACACTGAATAAATTTAAAGTATCTAAATCAATGTCATTTTAGAATGTTCAGGGCAGTTTTATTCAAGTTGATATAGAGTTCATATCATATCATATTTATGATTGTTATTGTTTTAATTTGTTACGTCAGGGGCACTAACTTGGTCTCATGGGGAGGGGTCGCCACCTTCTTCCACTACAAAATGCACACAATGTATAGCTTTACACAGCTAATCATCAGATGAATTTATTAACAACGAAGGATTGACGCCCCGCTCCTGCCACCCTCGTATAACGCTTACAATTCTGAAATGGTGTCGCTTTTTATATGGTTTAAAACCTTAAGCATGACATCAAATATTAAAAACAATACCTTAATGGGTGACCAATATCCTGCCAATCCCAACACCAACTACCGCTAATCTCTCTTACCGCTACCATCATCTCACCTCCGAGATTACAGGGAGTTCTCAACACCCGAACACCGCCAATCTATCCTGCCGTAAGCACCAGCTCACCCCCTAGAGGACACCCGAACCCCGCCAATCCCGCCAATCCCGCCTTCAACTACAGAACTCCACTCCTAGGTATTACACATACATTTTATAACTTTATGACATGATGTTGATTTTATTTTCCAGAAGGAAAAATAAATCAGGGGATAATCATCAGGGGTTAGAATATATCAATAATAACAACAGTGGTGAATCTGAATATAATACAATACAAGATGGAGATACAACGCAACACGACATTGGCCGTGATTTTGTCATCATAGCTGCTACACCACAAAAAAACACATCAGAAACTGTCTACTGTGATCCCTGGGATACCCGCATTAAGCTAGACCCCAGAACCCAACCATTAGATTCGAAATTTCAATACAGTGTAGTGAAACCGAAAGACGCCAGACGACAGGGGGGTGGTAAACCATCGGAATATGATCACATCAGTACAAAGATAACCGGAGGTCATTTTGGAAAGGAGGAATTAATAGATCCAACTTACGACCATTTTAAACACAACTCATTAACTCCTGTGGTGAAAGATAAAACGTATTATGATCATATTCCAAAACGTCGCGAACATCCTCTGTCTGATCACTACAGCGATCCTACATATAACCATCTTGGTGAAAAAGGCCAAACCACAAAACCACAACAACAAGACAATCCAACATCCAACAGTCATTACCAACCAAATCTTGATAATCCTTATACTGACCGTACTTATAACCATCTCCGACAACCGCAACGAGAGAACTACACCAAGAAGAATGCTGATGATCCTTATAATGATCCTACCTATAACCACCTGGGTGAAAAGGGTCCATAATCATAGCGAATCACGTGGATATATTCAAAGAAAATAGATAGAAAAGTGTCGCATTATGATGTTCCTGGGATTTGTGATTTGGTATTGACATGGCATTTCGTTTTGAATTTTAAATTCCTCTATTCTAAGGTCCAGTTGGGACAGCTGAGATCGTTCTGGAAATGTTTTAACGCAATATTTTTCACGGATTTTATTCTAACTAGAACTGTTACACTTTCACTTCGCTAAAATATTTCGTTATTTTTTCATGTAGCTTATAAATTTAGTATCACTTCCAATGCGTCCAGTCATATATGTGGCTAAAAGCACGCATTAATGTAACACGAGTGATTTATATTCAATTTTAATTTTTTTTTATAATCTCTAATAATTTTGTCCGGTGAATTACGCAAACAGTCCAAATTGAATGGCAGTCGTTTGTACCTGCTTATTACATTCTACATGTTTCGTGTTGGTTTCGTTGATGAATCAGACATTTGTAATTACTTCCACATTGTCTTCTGGGATATGTTTTCATCTCTTCATAACAAAAGGCGCTGAAAACTAGTATGTCCATAGAATAAACGAGTCTATTTTCAAAAGCTCATTGTGTCTTAAATATTAGTTGATCATAACATCAACATTGATTGAAATAGACCAGTATTGAATTTTGATTCATGTTTTTGATTTCTAACATTATCGATAACCTCAAGTGTTAAATGTATTTTCACATAGCTAAATATTTATTTGTACTTTCACATAGATAAATATTTATGCGTACTTTCTCATAGCTAAATATGTATTTGTACTTTCACATAGCTAAATATTTAGTTAGACTTTCACATAGCAAAATTATTAGTTGTACTTTTATATAGCTAAATATTTAGTTGTACTTTCGCTTTGAAAAATATTTATTTATACCTTCACATACCTAAATATTTAATTGTACTTTCACATTGCAAAATATGTAGTTATACTTTCACATAACTGAATATTTAATTCTACTTTCACAAAGCTAAAATATTATTTGTACTTTGACATAGCTAAACATTTATTTGTACTTTGACATAGCTAAACATTTATTTGTACTTTGACATAGCTAAATATTTTAATTGGATGACGATAACCGGGTTCTGATAAGCATAACCTACATCTTGTATTAGTTTTATTTAATGTTAAATGTACAAACATTGTGTTCATGATGTAAATTTCTTAATTGAACTTTATTATGTGACAAATTCTTAGCGTACTTATGACCTAACTTTTATTATCACTGATTAATTAGGGGTTTTTTTGTAATCTATATTGGCGCAATCGAGCCGCTTTTATCTGGATTTTGAGTACACTATAAATGAATAAATTATGATTAATTCATCTTATTTGTTGACTTTTTCGACTTTAATGTATTTACAGCACGTGCAATATATCGACCCACTAGCGAAAATTGTTTCCGTTTCATCTTAGAGTATAAATACAGTATACATACAGGGGGGTTGGGATGGCCTAGCCTAGTGGTCTAGAGTGTCACGCTTCGACCTCTAGCTGGCCGGTCACCTCTGGCTTGCGGCTGTGGTTTCAATCCCTGGTGTGAGCGTATGTGGCATGGAGATAGGGGCGCCTTCTCAACCTCGTGGGTTTACTCCGGTTTCCTCCCACACGAAAGACCCCTGCGCGTGCGCTAAGATCATGAAAATAAAAAAAAAAGACAACTTGTCTGCGATATCACCTTCGGTGGAAGCTGACGTTAAACACTAACAACAACAACAACAGGGCTGTCTGGGATCTACCTTAAAAACGTATGCCCATTTAAGTCACTACATGAAAGGCGAAGACGATAATGTAAAATCTGAGATGTATTTCCTTTTCTCGGAACTAAACTATAATGGCGCTATTTTTCAACTTGTTTTTAATTTACATTTAAAGATACTGACAGTGGGAGATGATTTTAAATATGTAGTCCGAAATTCGGATCCATTCCTTGATCGTAGAAGGTATGTAGGATAAGATAAAACTAATATGCCCTACAGAAGTACTCTGATAAATTAGATTTCTTTCGAGGGTACATATGTCCTCCTGTGGTCTCAGTAAAGATGGATTTTGTTTAAGAATTGAAAGATGTTTATGAGTTCTGTGGAGCTGTTTAAAAAAGAATTGGTTAAAAGTGTTTTTATTTTTAAGGGCTGATAACGCATTGGACAACTGGGGATAAATCGATGTTTGTGGACTATTCAAATTTTACCTATAAATTGATCTTATCCTCCATTTTTTTTTTTAAATATTCTTTCTTACATTTCCTAATCAAGTCAATATATACGTATCTAAACTGTCTGAAATTTTGCCAATCTTGGTCAGAATTAGATTTTACAGCACGTTTGTTAATATTTTTTGTTTCTTCTTGAACTTTTCTAATATTATTCATCCAGAATTTATATCGTGGTCTAATGTTTACTTCTTTATTTGGAATATTTTTCTTAGCAACGTGAAAGTTACACGGAATCAACAACAATGGACTACGAGTCATAGTATTCAAAACGTCATGTCTCCACTCGTCATAGTCAGTCTTATCATAAAGCCTGCGAAAGCGTTTTGGGCGTTTAATATTAAATCGACAATCCGACAGTATGAAATATTTTATTCGTGTACAAGTTGAATTGATGCCAACTCCTAATAATAGTTCTTAACCTTCCTGTTTCGATTTGTTTCATATTAAACATTTTATATTTTTCTATTGTAGGGAAATAATTGTATCTAACGATATGTCAGATAATGGCGTGAAGGAAAATTGTATTTAAAGATTTGTTAAGGAATGTCGAATCATAGAAATGGAATGTGTGGGCTCGTGATATGTAAAATAATAAATATATGACTAACTTAAACATTTATTAATCTGCTGTACAAGGCGTGTGTCAAACATCAAATGTAAATTATATCAAATTTTGAATTTAAATACAACAACCTTGTTAGTCTGTGTGATGTTATATCAGGTTGTTTGACAGTCCTTGTAATTTTTTTTTTTTTTTTTTTTTTTTTTTTTTTTTGGGGGGTTGTACGTGACAAGGAGTAGGGTCGCCTGTCCAACCTCGTGGGTTTTCTCCGGGTCCTCCGGTTTCCTCCCACTGCTAAAGACCCCTACGCGCAAGCGAATTATTGAAATAAAATTAAACCATATGTTAGTCCCGAAATGACCTAGTTTGTGTCGAGTGGACGTTAAACCCCATTTCTCTCTCTCTCTCCTTGTAATTTTGAATACAATTTTAAGTTAATCTCCAACTTAAAGTTGGCCTCCTCAAAAAAAAAAACCCAATACAAACCAAACATCAACTTTTCAATTTAAATACAACAACGCTGTTTGTCTGTGAGGTGTTATACCAGGTTTTTTTTAATGCAACAATACTTTTTATTTCATTTCAAAATTAAAGTTGGCCTCCCTAAGAAAAACAAACCCAAATAAGATAAGGTAGAAAAGATGACCTTAGTATGTTCTAAAAGTATATTTGTGTAATGTTCAAGAGGAGACGTGTGATTACTATTTCTAAAACACCCGATACCACTTTCTAATTTCAGGAGTTCAAACTTTCGTTGAACTTTACATTGGAAAGTTCATATTGCACGGGACACTACTAAGTTCAACGAGGCTATAATACAGAAGTTATTCTCCAAATTACAGGTGAAAATATATACACCATAATACACTTTTGATATTTGGGGGCTGGTGGTCCGCTGTTTATGACGAAGCTGCGTTTGGACAGGAATCTTAATTTTATTTCGTTTTTTTAAAAAAAGAAATGTTATTTTTTTTAGCTTCCCCGTGTACAAGAATCTCTGAAATTTCTGAAAAGATATTGAACAAAATCCTTTGTATTCGTGGTCGATAATTTTCCATAATCACACCTTTTCTTATATGATTCGTGGGGGGTTGGATGGCTGAATGATTAGCGTGCGCGCGCTGTATCATAAAGTCTGTCATTGAGTCGACTGGCGTGGTTTCGAATCCCCGGTTGTACGTGACGAGGAGTAGGGGCGCCTGTCCAATCTCGTGGGTTTTCTCCGGGTCCTCCGGTTTCCTCCCACTGCTAAAGACCCCTATGCTCAAGCGAATTATTGAAATAAAATTAAACCATATGTTAGTCCCGAAATGACCCAGTTTGTGTCGAGTGGACGTTAAACTCTCTCTCTCTCTCTCTCTCTCTCTCTCTCACATTACAGATAAAATAGATTCATTTGGTTTTGTTGGTGGAAAAGGGTCGTTTCGGGCTAGTACTTTAGACTTGGGGTTTATCAGGGGAATTCCCTTATGTCATGCTTCGTTAGGCATGTTGATACGAACATTATATATTACAGATAAAATGGGTTCGTTTGATTTTGTTTATCATTTTGGGAGGTACTTGAGACTTTGTGTTCCTCTGGGTGACGAATAAATATGATAAAGTCTAGTTGATGCTTTACACGATTGGTTCAGTGACGACTGTACATGCGCCGCCTACTTGCTCCCCAACATAAGCTAAACTAACCTCTCGGACAGTGCCGGATTTACCTATAGGCTGAGCAGGCTGAAGCTTGGACCCAATGATCTAGGTGTCCGCCCACCAAGGTGCATATTTTTGGGAAACTGTCATAAGTCTTTCTTACACGCACCGTATAATCTTAAACATCCATCATCATCCTCGACTTTATTCACGTGTGTTTAGAACATGAGGGTAGGAGATTGAAGAGGCCGCATACGTGGATTAGTCTAGGGAATCTCTTAATCATAATACCATACCATTCTCAAACACGATTGGCTCGTCAGGCAAGTTTCTATGGAAACATTTGAAAACCTGTAATTGATAAGGGTGTACAATAGATAGACCACGCCTCCCGCCAGGTAATGGCTATTTTTACATCGTCTCTCTCTCTCTCTCTCTCTCTCTCTCTTGTGCATGCCCTCCGTCCTGCACAACTGCCGGAAGGAAAACACTCTGGATAATCCCTTAGATTGAATGTGGGACCACCTGGTCAACAAGCCAGCGCTTTCCACACTGAGTCACCTAACTTCCCTCTTCTATTTATTTTACTACAATCCATTGATAATTTAGAACATTATTAGATACATATATTTTGGGCTAGCTATACATTGAATAACTATTGAGGTATTGAATGTATACAAATGTCAGCAAAAAATATACGCAAGCCTCGTTATACGTTTCAAACCTTCGCTGGTTCAGCGCAGTGAACATAAGTAAAAATAGCCATTACCTGGCGGGAGGCGTGGTCTATCTATTGTACACCCTTATCAATTACAGGTTTTCAAATGTATCCATAGAAACTTGCCTGACGAGCCAATCGTGTTTGAGAATGGTATGGTATTATGATTAAGAGATTCCCTAGACTAATCCACGTATGCGGCCTCTTCAATCTCCTACCCTCATGTTCTAAACACACGTGAATAAAGTCGAGGATGATGATGGATGTTTAAGATTATACGGTGCGTGTAAGAAAGACTTATGACAGTTTCCCAAAAATATGCACCTTGGTGGGCGGACACCTAGATCATTGGGTCCAAGCTTCAGCCTGCTAAGCCTATAGGTAAATCCGGCACTGTCCGAGAGGTTAGTTTAGCTTATGTTGGGGAGCAAGTAGGCGGCGCATGTACAGTCGTCACTGAACCAATCGTGTAAAGCATCAACTAGACTTTATCATATTTATTCGTCAACCAGAGGAACACAAAGTCTCAAGTACCTCCCAAAATGATAAACAAAATCAAACGAACCCATTTTATCTGTAATATATAATGTTCGTATCAACATTCCTAACGAAGCATGACATAAGGGAATTCCCCTGATAAACCCCAAGTCTAAAGTACTAGCCCGAAACGACCCTTTTCCACCAACAAAACCAAATGAATCTATTTTATCTGTAATGTGAGAGAGAGAGAGAGAGAGAGAGAGAGGGAGAGAGATAGAGAGAAGGGGTATAATGTCCACTCGACACAAACTAGGTCATTTCGGGACTTACATATGATTTAATTTTATTTCAATAATTCGCTTGCGTGTAGGGGTCTTTAGCAGTGGGAGGAAACCGTTAGACAACCGAGGATTCGAAACCACGCCAGTTGACTCAATGACAGGCCTTATGATCCAGCGCGCACGCGCTAACCATTCGGCCATGCAACTCCCCATGTGCAATGTATAATATTATGATGGTGGAGACCGATGTTGTACCAACACAGCTAACGAAGCATGAGATAGGGGAATTCCCCTGATAAAATCGAAAGTTTATTGATATGACGTTCAATATCACTGCCCATTGATAAATAACAATAGTATTATACACAGGGCTAACTAACGCGCTTTTATTGTACATTTTATATTATGCATATTATATAAAC